TTAGTTGGTTACAAAGTAAACTCGTTGGCGTTAACATCAGTAAAGTCGTGAAGTAAATGCGTTGGGGATTACATTTAAGTAGAGTAAATTGTGAAAGTTTATGCAAGTGATTGTAGCTAGTAAAGTGCATTGTAATTGAATTGTGAATTACTGAGTAAATAAAGGACAGATAAATTCTTTGTAACGAAAGAAACTGCAAATTAAGTTGGCGAGTTTTTATTTAACAATTCAGAGATCGTACCCGAAGGTTTCAGAAAATCATCGCGGTTGATTTAGCAAAATCGTAACAATTGGTGTCATTAGTGGGATTGTTAAATAAATCCCAAAGGATAATATTTGCAAAATGGTAAAGATTCAGGATTTGACGATACCTCTTCTCAAGAGTTGGCAAAGCGAGGATTGTCGACAACTGGAAATAAGGCAGAGCTGCAATCGAGACTGCGAGAAGCAATGGAAGTTGAAGGCATCGACTTAAACCAGTACGAGTTCCATCGCGAGGATGAAGATGTATCCTTGAAGGACATTGACAAGGAAGAGGCTGATGGTTCTGTGAAGGAGTTGGAATCACCAGCAAGTAAGATTCAAGAAAAGGCTCCTGGGTCACCTAAGGGTATTGACATGAACATTCTATTGACTGCGATCTCACAAAATATGTCTCAAATGATGGCTGCACAGGAAGCCAGCATTTCACAAAAGTTGGATGCACAGGACACAAAAATGAACGCCAGCATCGCACAAAATATGTCTGAAATGAGAGCCAGCATCTCACAAAAGATGGATGCACAGAATGCCAACATTACATCACAAATGGTTGAGCAGAGGGAGCAGATGTCATCCTTGGAAGGAACAATAGCGCAAATACAGCAAAATCTGGTGAGGAACAATGCGGAACTTAAGGAAAGGCAGGATCTAATTGAGACCAAAGTCAACGCATTGGAAAGTCGTGTCCGGGAATTGCAGCTAAATCGTCCAACCGCTTCAGTGAACGCTCCGAAGGTAAAAACACCATCTTTTGACGGGAAAATCCCATTTCAAGTCTTTAAGCTCCAATTTGAGAAGACAGCTGAAACAAACAACTGGAGCATAGAGGAAAAATCCGCTGCACTATTCGTTGCGTTGGAAGGACCTGCAGCCGAACTTTTGCAAACCATATCCGTAAACGAGAGAAATGATTACGACGGATTGATGCAAGCCCTGGAAAGACGCTATGGTAGCGAACACAGAAGACAGATTTACCAGATGGAGTTAGAAAAGCGCGACCAAAAATCCAACGAATCTCTGCAGGAATATGCTTCGGAAGTTGAGAGATTGGCTCATTTAGCCATTGGAGACACATCGGGTGAGCATCTTGAAAGGGTGAAGATACAAAGGTTCATCAGCGGAATAAAAGACGTGTACACCAAGCGAGAGACATACGCGAATCCAAAGTTGACATTCGCTGAAACTGTTGCGTATGCACAAACACGTGAAACGGCGGCACTCATAAGCAGACCATCCTACAAAGTAAATAAAGTAGAGGTTGAAACACCAGATGTGATGACAGATATATTGAGAATTCTGAAATCGCTGAAAGAAATGAATCGTTCTGGTTGCAATCATCGGGAGCACAAATCGCAGCTAAAATTTTTTCCATTTCTTATTGAATTAGTTCATGGTTGCATTTATTTCTAATATGTGGTAGTATGACGACAGCTGCAGCCGAGTGGGTAGCAATGCATACCAGAGAACGTAAAACATACGTGCTATACGTTCTCTGTGCACACTATAAGTCATGGGCTGGATCCCCTGGCAGACAAACAACTGAAATATCTTTTAATGCGATCGTCCTTCGGCAAGATATCCCATCACACGTTTATCGGCTTAAATAAGTAAGTCTTTTCGCCTATGGTAAAAACATCAAGTCACGTGCCACAAATTGGAGGAGAAGCAGGGATCTCAAAGTCTCAAGCAATTGTTGGTTCGAGGATTAGCTAACTATTAACAAAAATTAAAATTGTGGAAAATCGGCTCACGCCAACAAGTGCAGCTACGAATAATTATGAAACGCTAATTATTTAGTAGCATCGCCCTGCCTTACCATTTTCGTTATTGCTTTACAATTCTGTAAAAAGAGGACGTAATCATTGTATTAGAGATGGCGTTAAGTGTTAGGGTGCTAATTAAACTAAATCACGTCTTCGGACTTCACACAATGAAGATAATATGATTTTATGATATATTACCTTACCCGAGAATGTATTATATAATATTATCATGTTTTCATTTATATGATAAATTTTTAAACCATTATATGTAACATACATACATATAATATGTTACATATGCCACACATATATTCATAAAGCGAAGTTTTACAAAACGAAGCGGACGCTACAAACTAAATACTTAAACTTTATTAATGCTTGGTGAACTTTATTTCTAAGCCTTCTGTTCCTTTTAATGTATTCTTTCTATTTTAACTATCTATTCTATTTATGAATGCTTCCATTATTGGCTTGATTTATTCTTCGGCGCGGTGTACTAATATAGTTCAGCTAATATACGAGAACAAACACATCAATGCAATACGTATATTTTCCTAACTAGTTTCAAGCAAATTGACTCATAAATAGACCGACCTTTAGTCAACATTCCACTAAAACGGTTTGTATAATAAGAATATCAGATTAATAGTTTTTTTTTTTGTTACTTAATTAGAGATGGCGTGTTGACGCGGAGTAGTCCTCTGCTACCATTGTCCTCCATTTGTTAATAAGGGAATCACTGAGCCCACCTTCTGTCCCACTAACATATTTTGCTTTCTTGTTTACATCTGGAGGAGGGTATTTTCTTGTATTCATGGCAACCCGACTGAATGTTGATCGTAGGGGTACAACTTCACTATAGTCTTCATTATAGTCATCGTACAAAGGACCTTGTGCTTGAGAGTGCACGGTCTTAATAACCAGATTATTTCTATTGGGCACTGACACGCTGAAAGCGGCTGCTTCTTCTGCTGATACACCAGCTATGGCGGTAGCTTTTGGTGCGGACACAGCTAAACCATTTCGACCAGATAGTGCTATTGCATTGGGCTTAGATGAGGCAACACCACCTTCCCCAGCAATAGACAGACCTAAACACATATGTATGTCAGTAGTGAATAACAATATGAACACTGATTGCACTGTAAACTTACCAATCGGTTTAGCTTCAGCAACGGAAGCATCTTTTTTCGGTGCAGTTACAGCTACGGTATCGCTAACGTCCTCATAAGGATCTTCTGTGTTTGGGGGCAGAAAATCTTCTTCGTTAAATTGCTGCTCTGTAACTTCGTCCACTTTTTGTTCGCCGGTGAGATTTTCGGCTTCCGCTAAGGATTCTGAAGGAAGTAATGGTTGCTTATGAGATATTTGAAAATCCGATTGAAGGAGTAGACTGAAATCCTTAATTTGACCTGTTTTTTGCAAATTTGCTAAGTTTTGCGCAGCTTGTCCCAATTCCAATAAACTTTCGCCATAAATACGATTATCTTCGGCGCTAAAAGAACCCTTACGTTTTGCAATCTCTTGAATTGCAACTAAACGAGCTGCTGCAATCTGTATTCTGTTGAAATCCTTCTCGAAAACAGTGGTCGATGTTATTTTGTCAGACTGAGTATCTTCTGTTGATATCGTAATACTGCTCGTTTTAGTAAGGGGTTTGTCTTTGCTATCAGCAGATCTTAATATAAACATATTATCCATTCCATCTTTTGTTCTAACGAGATGAAGAGTTTGGCCACGCAGACCCCCATAGTAAGGGAATACATTTTCAGCAAAAATCGAAGGGATTTTGGTTTGTGAGCTACATTGTATTTGAAGAGTTCAATAATTATCAAAACACCATTGAACACAATTTGTACCATAAAGCCAAATAGCCTACAAGCATTATCAAGGAGAGTTCCCGAAATGAAATTATATCCGAAACAGTTTACTTATCAAGATAGTAATAGGTATTTTTATGTAAGATAGCATTTTGAGACAATAATAAAAAAGTATGTAATATGTTCATATACATATATAATTTTTACATAATACACGTATGTACAATTATTTACATCCGTTCTCCTCTAATATCGCGAATCCACTAAATCAAGCTCCAAATCGGCCTGGGCATGGGCTTTGCCACCTACGCCTGCAATCGCAACTGATTCCGGATTGAAATAGACATTGGTAGGTACTCCCCGCTTCAAAAAAGCTCTTGAAATAGGTGTAGATACTGCTGTGCCACCATTACCCACTACTGCTTTAGAGTGGGGCTCCAGTATTAGAGCAGAAGTTTTGCTACCGTAATTTCGATCCTTTGACAAATATGGAAGAAAGTAGGTACCGAAAGGTATTTGTGGCGTTGTTCCAGAAGTAGCAGTTTTGCCTGTGGCTTCAACTTTCAGTTCATTTCTCCTTATATTTTTTTCGCTGAATTTAGGAAAAGCCTCTCCCAAGTGAGGAGATGGGGTAGGAGAAACTAAAAGCTTAATTGGCTTAGAAGTTCTTTCTGATGTCGTTGTTGTAAGGATATGTTGATTGGCAACGGGCGATATCTCCTCAATAACAAATTCGGGATTTACTTGTTGTACTGCTCTTAAAAGACCCACATCACTCTTGAAGTCGTCCTTGTTGTTAATGGCATCATTCATTTTATTCTGTAGCTTTAATCTTTTAGCTTTTGTGATGGGTGTTTTGTTGACTTCACTATGTGAAAGAGGAAATTGGGCGATAGGTGAAGTAAAATAACCATAGTAAGGCGGTAACTTCTGTTGAAGAAGCTCGTTTGGATTAAGCGCTGCAGTAAGCCGTGACGAGGAAATTACACATTCGCTGGTATAGCCGTTATTTATTGGAATTGTAGTTAATAGGAGTGAATGACGCGTATAGGGATTTGAGGAAAAATCGAATGGATATGTAGACCATTGCCAAGTAAGAAGACTAAAAGTTGCCATTTTATCATTTCATATTTACATAGGCGGTAAATAAATTTTTAAAGTTGGAGTATGTGCAGTGCAAAAAGAAAAGAATATGTTTGCAGGATTGTTAAAATTGTCTAAAATAAATACAATATACATATGTATATACTACGATTTTAATTAAGACATGCAACACTAAGCAATTATATTAACGATAGTGGCAGTATCAACAGAAAGTGATGAATGATAGTTCTGAAATGAGATATCCGAAAATATGGCCATCTGTTACTTGTGTATGTACATATCTACAGTTCATTAAATATCTATTAATTTTATTATTTTAAATAAATTAATTTAATTTGTACCACTTGAGTATTAACAGTTCAATATTGCGTTACATATCATATTATACAATACAATTATTTTATTGCTTTCATGGCATTTACATAGGTAAGCCTTTATGTCTAAATTCATCAAATGTAAGCATCATTAAATTATTCCAACTCCCGTTGAGGGTGAATAATACACTGTTGGACCAGTAGCAACAACTTTTCCCTCACGAGGAATACTTTTTTCTGCCAAATTTGTTCTTTCCAATGCATCTATTAAATCCACGTTGGAGGGTATTGCAATCACCTTAGCTCCCGGTCCGGCAATCGTTAGACTACGTGGGTGAGTAAGCGCATAGCCCCCTGGGCCAACAATAGCGGTGCCACCACTACCTGCTGTTGCAACACCACCTGGACCCGCAATAGCAATGCCGCCCTTTCGAACTTTTAGGCGTTGTATGATAATTCCGCCCTGCTTAAATGCTTCCATTTGAGTTTTCTGCTCTGCATTGTGGTGATTGCTAAATATGTTTTTTTCTTCATGTTCATTAGAACTACTTTCTTCGTCATCTGAAGCGCTATTACTCGTTTCATCATCCCATTGATAATCATTTCCCTTCTGTGGTGGTTGTGTCCCAACAATTTCGTAAAACGTTGGTGTAGGCTGATATGCTTGTGCAGTAAATGTTGGTTTGGGCGATATTTGTAATGTTTGCCCCGATTCTCCTGTTGCTATGTCTGGTTTATTATCCTGAAGAAATGGTATTTTAAATATGTTTTGAAAAGCGCTCTTTATGGCATTGCCAGCAGTTATGTTTTTATGGTCACCTGGACGGGGAATATTACCAACATTAGGGAAGTTCAAAATACCAGGGCGAGAATTGATAAAATTGGAGTTGGGTTTTGGGCTGATATTGAATGTTGGTTTACTATTACTATTTATATTTGTGTTGACGTGAGGATTGTTACTGTTACTATTTATAGTGCTTCCGAGAGTGAGATGTTCTTCTGTTTCTTCACTTAGTATTGGTTCTTTCTCCCTGATCGGTTTGGGTATAACACGTTTTCGAATAATTTGTGTTGTAACATTGGTATTTAAATTGGAGTCGCTACTACTACTTGTAGCGCTTGCCTGTATTTTATAGGGCCTCTGAATCCCAACTACCTTCTCTTCCCTCATATTACTTCCTTGTGTACTTTGATTTTGTTTCGCTTTTGATGTCATTTCGGAGATTTCGATTTTGTTTCGTTGGGAATCCTCCACCAATGCTATCTCTTGCGGAAGAAAAAATAGATGATACTTTGTGGATGGCTTAACTTTTGTATCATTTGTTGCAAGATTTTTAGATTTTGTTCTGCTATAAAAATTGTCGACATCACCAACAATTTTGTATCCTTTTGCTCTAAACTCTTGTGGGGCATTCGTTTGAATGTATTCCTTCTTATTATATTTGTAAAGTTGCAGTGGTATAGCGAAATGTGTAGGCAACTTCCATTGTTCATTCTTGTCCCCTGGATCTGGTACAATAACTTGATTTGGACGAAATATATAGTTATCCTTCATTGCTAAACTCTTGTAGAAAATACGTATTTTTTTTTCAGTGGGCCGAGGATTAACGTAAGGTATTGCATTTTGGCCACCTAACGGCATCGATCTAATGGACGGAATTAGAATGGTGCCCCCATTCACGCCAGAGGCTTGGTGATTTTGCTGGTGAAAAGGCTGGGTTGCTGGTTTTGGAAACAGATACTGACTTGAATCTAAAATGTGGGGAAGCTTAGATTTATCAGGTTGTTTTCGGATGTATCCCAGTGCATGGTTGATTTTATTAATTTCCTGTAGAATGCGCTCAGCCTCGTCCAGCGTTTTTGTATCAGAACTGTTGGTTGAAGAATTTTGTGGAAAGTCCACGTCATCGGGAAATTTAATTAGCCTTTGTTTTTCGATTCTGCGAACGAGAATTGCAAGTAATGCGTGGGGACGCATAAGTACTAAAGGGCTGAGAGCTAGTCAAGTTATTTAATTTCAGTGAATACATAGACGTATTAATTCGAAGGATGAAAATGAAATGATACTAAATATGTATTATTCAATAAGCAAGTACTGTCATTTTAATTACGTATTTCATGATATTGATGAAATTTAGAGAAAAAATTGTCTTTTACAAGTGTGTTACAAAAGGGTTTCACTGACGTTTTGAAAATGCAGCGTCATGATATTATCAAATATTATAATTATTTCAAAGCGGTGATTTTAGTTCAGCATAGTTACAGGCATGCAGCTGCTCGGTTAATTTAGAGTCGGTTTGTTCTTATTAATTTTACTTACTCTATGGCTGCGTCATTAACCTCAACAGGATGGCCAACGACAATATTAAAAGATGCAATAACTGCCGATAAAATGAGCTGGAAAGAGAAATCAGTGATATTAAATACTTTCTGCGGAAGGCAAACATGTTTTATGGTAATCACGAGATTTAAATCGAGAATAACCTGACATAATGATACCGGACTTCTAATTTTTTATTGAAAGGACTGTATTAATAGTTCCAATTGCAAATTTTAGCGTACTTCGTAGATTGGCATATGGGCCCTAAAAGAAGAGGGCCTCAGTTAAATCTGCAACAGACATTTAGATCAACTAGTAACTATTTAGTACCCAGTTATAAACAAATTTTAAATTGAAGTTGTTCAAGAGGCACAGAATATGCCTAAATCAATTTCTTTAAAATTTAACGAAGTAAGATATTCATATACCACATTATAAATGTACATATGTCATTTCGTATTTTAGTTTTTATGTTAACTACTGAAAAATCAACTGAACGCACATCAAATTTCACTTTTAACTAAAAAAAGTGTAGAATTCGAATGGAAAAAATGTCATAATTGTCGACGACAAGATATTAAAATGTAATATTTATTAATACGTATTATTAATACGTATCTATCTTTTCAAACTATCCCATCGTGCACTGATTTCGTATTCAATGCAAAGATGGGTTGAAATGTTGCCAAGAAATTCTGTTGTACACGCCATACATTTTTCTTGGAAATTAGCATAGGTTCGAAAGACTTGTTGAATCTAAATGAAAGTTTGGAAGAATATACGAGTGAAGTAGAGACGAAAGTTGAGCAGTTCATTGGTCATTGACTTTATGAATACAATAAGTGACTGAATATTTTTTTATGCGCACTCACATTCTTTTATTGGTAAATTTTTTATAAATATTTGGGTTACAATTCAAGTACTGGATTCAATATTTGTATATGTAGATTGGATCGACAAAGAGAAATTCGCAATAATGCACATAAATCAATTAAGCGTTTCACAGATGAAATTATACAAAGTAAATATAAAAAATAAACAAAGTGTCTAAGAACTTGATGGCAGTGGAACAAGTAAAATTACGAATATACATACATATATACATGTATACACAGGCTATCGATGTCGCCTCTGGCACCGTACCTAATACCTTTTATTTCAAATTTGTTTTCATTGAGGAATATTTTGATTTAAATAGAAAGTTTTATACTTGTATGTGGGTGTGACGAATCAAAGTGTGTGTATGAACTCAAATTGTCTGTTGCTTCTTAATTTTTATATACTCGTATATATTTACATATACATATCTAACTCGCGCTTTGTAATCGCTGAAACGATTTTCGGCCAAACTCCTCCGCAAATTTGTTATGTACGTCTTGAAGTTTCTCCAAAAAAACGGAGTCACAATTTACTCTCAACCATCTCCGAACGGGTGATGGATTTTTATGAGAAGATCTTATTTCGTGACATGACGACTAGGAGTGAACGTAATTAGAAAAATATTTGTTTCTATAGTTTTGGATATTGGTCGGGACAGGACTCGAACCCTGGTTTCACAACGGTGGTTATCAATGCTAATCACTCGGGTATTGTGGCCGCTTACATATTTTTTGGGTGAAGATTTCAAGCATACGTATTACGTACGGTCAGTAATATGACTGTACATGAAAATATTTGTGCTTTAAAGTTGAGTGGAAATTGTGCCATCGGAATTATTAATTTTATACATTGATGCTGTCAGAATACAAATTTAACTCTACCGTCATTATGGCTATTTGATCGTATGACGACAACGTTTTATGGAGTTTATCCTTTTACCTTAAACAGAAGAAATAAATGTATATGTACGTGTACACAAATCATAGTTATTTAGTTTTCGATACACACATCATTGAGATAAAAACACGGTTATACAGTATTAAATGTTTGCTTTTTGTTTACACAAAAAATCACATTGAAATATGGAACTGAAATTTATAACATTTAAATTTAAAACATTACTCAGTTAAATATACACAATATTATTCTGTATGACACACGTATTTCAAAAGAAACACCATTAATTATATTTATCATTTCCTAATCCTTAACATATAATTTTCATAAATGTTATAACCATTACAGAACTATTCCAAAAACATACATACATACTATACGTTAGGTTGGAGTCTAACTTTGGACAAGTGAAAGTCAATTAGAATTATTAATCCAAGCTATTGGTTTTCTAAAGTAACTCGAACACTCTCAGTAGCAATATTTTATATTGTTTATACCACCAAAAAAATAACCTAAACAAAAAGCTAGCACAGCGCTTCAATAATAAAGAGAAAACTCTTTAACTTTTCTAAGCATTGCAGTAGTGCAATTGCATTAATATTAAGTATGAACATTAAAATAAAATCGAATCACAGACAATATTATTGAATATGAAATATTACTTACAATCTTCGTAATCATAATTTATAGTTAATACACAAATATGCTGTCCTTTAATAATACAAAACTTGATAGAAGATGGATAGTATTTTCATCAAATCACAATTTCAATCAGTAAAGTAGACGAGCTCTGACAAACTGTCACTATAATGCACAATAATCCGAAAAAAGTATTCCAAATAATAAAATTGTGCACACCACAGGAAGGTAAAATAACACAACCAAATACGTTCGCGTCTTAGCATGAACTGCGCTCGTGCGCAAATACCATGGTTTGTTTATATCATACTGTTGGCTAATATGTGGTCTCTTTTAATGTTCAGACAAATGGAATTTCAGAGTCACTATACAACTCTGGATTGAACAAAATTGTTTCTACCTTGATTTCACCTTGTCTTATGTTTTCATAATCAAGTTCTGGTGAGAGCAAGATTATCATTATGATAAGAGAAGGGAAGAATTTAAGAGAAAGTATTTTCTGCGTTACGTTGTAATTTCAATCCTTGCACATACATACATGTATGAAGTTGTGTTTCGATGTTATTGTTTAATGTAGTACATAAGACGAAACACTGCAGATAAGGAATTCTTCTGAACGACTTAATGACAGATTGCTCTCATGGTTCGTTGCGATATAACGTTTATTATAAAACAAGTTAGATTCAAATAAAGAAATGAAAAGGATACCAATGAACCCTTCTGTGATTTGTGTTATTTACTCGAATTTTCAAAAGCATTTTTCAAATTGTCGCAGTATATTGTGTTAAAAAGCTTGCCTTTCGTGCTTCTGAACCACTATTCCATGGTACTATCATTATCACGTTGTAACACTAGCAACTGATTTTTTCATGAGCTAATCTGAACAAAAACAAAATACTTCTACATTTTATTTTGCTGGCCTGAGAAATAATAAAGTGCATGGAACTAAGTGTCCCAATTCGTAAAAAAGATTCATTTTCGTTTGCTAAATATTCAAAACTTACATTGCGATTCAGATTGCTGAACATCTTGAGATTCATTATATGGACTACCCTACAAAATATACTCGTAAGCCCGCATTACAAAAATATGTTGTAAGTTTATTGTTTTGTAAGTGGGAGTCCTGGAGCTCAATTCCAAAGACAAATATAATGAGAACCGCTTACTGAATGAATGTGGTATAGCACTAATGGGATATAATTGTGCAATATCATTTTTGCCGGCATAGTAGAAATGAACAAGAGTGTAATTATATGTGGCACATACACGGTTTCTGAAAATGCCAGACAATACTAACGCATAACGTACAAGTCCTATACTCGTACATATTGTACATATGTACACGAATGTACGTATAAAAGGAGGAATACGTAGATAACTTCGATTTATTGGACGTCATTAAATTTGACCTTCATGTGGAAATGCAGTGGTGCTTACGCGATACGAATTGAAGCTGGAATGAAAACATTCTGTTTTTGTTAGTTTTTGTATCAGGGCCGAAATAGAGTAAAAAGAAATTAATAGCATACAAGTGATGGAGCTTTGTTTTCCAAGTTTAAAAATTGCAAATCATTAATGGCCACTTATAAGCACTTAATTAGCGAGAAAAATTAAAAGAATTTTCTCATTATTACAGCATCAACATGAACTTCGTGCTCATGCTTTTTATTTATTGTAGATTAGTTTTGAATCAAAATAGATTTTTTGATCTTCTTATAATTTGGTATTCAATCTGGACAGCATGGAGAAAAGATTAATTCGCGAAAATACTCTTCAGTAGCAAGTTTCTATGAGTATCTCAAAAACTAGGATGCCAGTTCAGTTGTATGAAGTACTTGAACTTTATTATTTGAGTTGTAATTAGACTTTGAACGTACAACCTACTTTTAACACTATTTTATGGTCATGAGGGCAAAAATAAACAAAAAAAAAGTAGACAAAAAAGTACGACCATGGAGAGTCAGTGCCAGTGTGTGGTTACTTAAACAGTCTGTTTAAGACGTGCATTGTATAAAAAATTATACCTTCTGTATTCATTCAGATGCAATTGAAAATAATGTAGAGGCTTACAGTACATTTTGTTGTGGATATAAATCAGACTCTTGTATTCTACCACTCAAGTGAAAATACATGCAAATATCATTGGATGTATGTCTTGCTGTTTTGTAATGAAAGTATTAAGTTACAAACTTATAACCTGCAACATTAGTGAAATTATTATAATTCACTTCGGGACTTGATTATGGAATGAATCTTTACTGCTTGTAAGTGCATACTTAAAATTAAAACTTAATTTCATTATTTCATTTGATGCTTCTCTTGTCAAAACAAATTAAAGCGTTTGTACACACATATATTTAAATGATTTGTCTTAGCTTTACTATATGAGCTAGTAATAAAAAATGTTTAGTATTACGTATCTGAAATTACTAAATAAATGAACATACATATGCTACTTGATAAGTCAATGCTAATAAAAGCAAAAAAAAAAAAAATGAAGAAAAATGTAGATATCGTTTTTTAAATACCAAATATCGGCCCGCAAAAAAACAAAATAACGGTATAAATATTATATACATACAAATACATATGTATGTATGCAGAGATATAAGCTTAGTTGAATTTTGTTTAAATCCAAACCGAAAATGTTTTGTAAAAATATCGCGTAGTATTTGGTTTCATGCATGCATAAATATTTGTCAACTTTGAAGTACCAAAAAATGTATATATGCATGTATGTATGAGTGTAAGTGTTATAAGTAAAAATCGTTTAAGACGACTACGTAGATGTATGTTTGTATGTATTTAAGGGTGTAAGTTTAATAAACCTAAGCTTTGCCATTAGCTTGGGTTACATAAAAATTAGGTTAATAAACCCTCAAATGAGAACTTCAATTTTTTGGTGACGACCTTCATTGTCCGGTCTCTTAATAGAGATGTCTTCTTTAAAATTAAGCCTGAGATCACTGCCATCTGGAAAAGCGACGGCGATTTGAGCGCGAGGTTTGGAAAATAACTGTACCAGTGTAACTACTCGAATATCTTACATTTTGATCTAGTTATGGGTCGAAAGTATAACACACAGGAGCTACCCATTAGGTTAATGCGGACGCCAAAAAAGTATAAATTGTGAAATTATTGAAATCAGTTTTGGAGTTCTTTCAATATTCCTTTTAACTTTTTTATATGCTCGTTGATTTTTTCAGAATAAAATATTTCCTGGTTTTAGAAATTCTTTTAATTCAATTCAAATTCAATCTTTCAGAAGACTTGATTTCAAATCCACTAATGAACACATTTTTGCAAGTACTTCCTTTCAAATTTGAGAACGATCGGCTAAAATTAAGAAGAGAAATTGCAAGATAGCTGAGGATAGGTCAGACGAAATTCTACCACCAACGCAAACAGAAATTTGTCATGTGATTTTTTTCGGGTTTCGGCGTAATTTACAACCAATACAAGTATTCAGTTAATGCCAAATCGCTTATGGAACAATTACACTGTATTTAAGGACTATTTCTAAGTGATTCCTAAGATTCCGGACATTTTTCCGCAGAGGACGAGTCCCGAGAAGGTCGACCAAAATCTTCCACTGATGGCGCTATTGTAGTTTTATGAATTCCAAAATTGACGAAGACTCACAATCGATACAAAAAATGATTGCTACTATATGTGGCTTGAATGTCATGGCTGTATCACGAATATTAAGTAATCATCTGGAATATACGAAAATATCTGCTCAATGGGTAAAACGATTATAAATGAGGCCCAAAAGGAGTCTCGAGGGCATTTTGCCCGATTTCTCATAAACAATTTCGAAAATAGTTAATCTCGAAACTTTAGTAAAGTCGTTACTGGTAATGAATCTCGGATCTATAAGTGTGTGGAGCAACAAAAATCAGCAGAAAAAGTATTGATGTTAGTTTACTTCACCCGAGCTAAAAACATAACTAGTATTCTACTCAAAAGGGTCAGACGGTTACTGCAAAATGGTATACAAAAGTGCTTACCAAACGTTTTAAAAAATTTGTTGGAAAACAGGAAGAAAGAGGATTTGCGGCGCTACTTTTTACATCATGACAACGCGCTATCCCACACTTTTTAAATATCGAGTAATTTTATTGCGATCTCTGCGATCGAAGAAATACGTCCAGCACCATATTCCCCGGATAGTTAGTTATTTCCAAAAATGAAAAAAAATTAAAAGCAAAGATCTTTAATAACAACGAGGAGATAATTAATGCGGTTAAAGTTAACTTGATAAGCTTAAAAAACAAGATTTTGAAGACTGTTTTCAGAAGTGGATCCATAGGCTTAAGAAATGCATTGAAATCAACGGCGATTATGTAGAGAAGGACAAAGATTACGAATAAATACAAAGTTAGTTTTTATTTTTTTTCAACTTACCGAGCTTTTGTTAACCCTCTCGTATGTATCTAAACATGATATATGAATTTGAAAATTTCTGACATTGTAATGAGTTTTCGATGTGTTGACAGTTTTACAAACACTGAACTTATTATTAGCGCAAATCGTTGTCATCCGATTCAGAGAACGTAAATACAGAAATTAGAGAATGTAAATCAGAGAACGTAAATCCAGAGAACGTAAATCCAGAGAACGTAAATCCAGAGAACGTAAATACAGCGAGAAGGTTCAATCAGAGAACGTAAATACAATGACAAGGCAGAGAACGTAAATAAATTGTATTTACGTTTTCTGCAAGTTTTCGCGGCGTTAAATGCATAAAGAGGTACGAAATATAGTATGATTGAATTATTTGGACTAAAGCTGTAAAAATATAAGATTTTAGTAAGCTCAAACGAAATTAGTATGTCAAGTACTCACATATGCATCAATACAGACACCGCTTATGCGGTTACAGCCGAGTTGGCAACATTGCGCCATTCATTTCTTCTGTGAACTATGTCAATATCGTCGTATATCTACGATTTCTAAGTTATGACTGTCAACAATGACGTGGGAGCCGAGTCGGGAAAGTGATGAGCGTTTGTTGCCCTGGTTTCCCATCAGACCCATATCCTTCGCTTTCTTATCCAGTGTGTAGAAATCAGAACTCACGGCGTGGTTGTTGAGGCCAATCTTGTCAATATCATCGGCGTACGCCAACAATATTCTTATAGAATATTGCATCTTCTTTATTCAGCTCTCCAGCTCTTATAACTTTTCTCAGCAATAAACTAAAGAAGTCACACGATAATTAATAACTCTGTCTGAAACATCGTTTGGTATCAAGAAGCTCGGAGAGGTCCTTCCCGATCCTGACAGAACTTTAAGTGTTAGTTTTTGTGTATAACATCAGTTTAGATAGCCAAATAAGCTTCCGGCATTACCAAATACAGACATAGCGGTATAGAGGCAGCTCCACGGGTATTTTCAAAGACTTGGCGCACGGTGAATATGTGGTCAATGGTTGATTTTCTCGGTCCAAAGCCACAATGATAAGGTCCATTTAGATTGTTGACGTCGGGCTTCAGTCTTTCAGATAATTCGCTCGATAAACCTTATATGCAATATATGTGGTGTGAGTCTTGATGTTTTTCCAACAAATGGAGGGAACTACAGTTTATACTAAGCCGCCTCCGAACGGCTGATGGTTTGTTATGCGAAGCCTTCTTTTATTTCATTCCAGAGATATACTCGGAGGGGATGACTTTCTCTACGTATGTATATAATATTATTAAATTTGGTGTAGTATCAGTAAGGTATCCTTTATTAACAAAAAAATTATACATTTACGTACAACTTCAACTATACTTTCACGTGAGTCAAACATCACCTGCTATTATCGTGTATTTCCTGTGTTTGTTGTCCTGATTCTTTTACAAATGAAATAAACGCAAACCACCAAAAACAAAAGTTCAGTTTTAAGTTTTTTACTAAATAATTTAACTTTATTTATTGAATTTGCTTCAAGCTCTATTGTTAAGTATTACTGGAAAGTTTCTTGAATTCTCTAAATTTACTTATTATAAGCCATTTCACCTTCCATAGATGTTATTATGTCAGCAATTTCGTCTTGTCTCAATGCCTCTGATGGGGATGGAACTCTGCGCCCGCCAACTGGTAGTAAATCTATATTTTGTATATGTGCCCGCACACTATGTCCTGGAGGCAGACCAATATACCACTTACCTACATTTTGGATTATTGTGGAGTCTCGATGCCGTTGCAACCAGTCACGATCTCGTTCCATTTGTAAAATTTTTTGGCTGCTTGTTATTAACGGGGGCAGTGAACTGAGGTCATCATCACTGAAACCTAACGAGTCTGTAGAAGAAGATGGCGAATCGTAATTGTAACTGTCAGTGGCACTATCACGATTACGGCTGTTCCCCACTGAGTTATGTGACGCAGAGGAATTTGGAGTTCGATTACGATTATTTATGTGGGAAACAGAGCTCATAGCTTTGCGATTTTTGTGACTATCATCATTTTGCTTTTGCCGGTTACGTATCAAACTAAAATTGTACCCTCCATCATAGTTATCCCCAAGAGTACCTCCATAGCGGGTTGCTCCGCGGTTGGTGCTAGCTGCTCCCATACGATCACTTTTCGTCTTTTTTAGCAATTCATCGTCCCGGACAGATTCACCAGTAATCGATTTTTTTTTGTCTAATTTATTGCTCTCAACGCTTTGCAAATTTTTTGAACTGCTGTTTGCGTTTTTTAAATAATTTTCTTCTTTCCTTGATTCATTTTCGGCTACAGGAACATCTCTGGTGCCACCGATGTTTCCTATTTCAAAGTCGTTTGCTAATTTGAAGTCCGTATCACTCAATCTGAACTCATTTAGTGATGGGTTAATATGAGATCCCGGGCCCATACGATTTTTCACTATTCTGTATCCAATACCTGGTCCAGCTATATACTCTACAGTGCGCTGAACACCAGCATCATCCAAATATGAGTAAGTACCTCTTACAAATCCATCTCGACTTCGGCTTTCAGCGCGGCGATGGTCGGGTCCAGCAGCAATTAATTTGTATGTTCCATTAGGACCGCGTTGAGTTGTCATCTTACCACGAGTCTTTGGATGGGCCTTGTAAAGAGGTGCTACATATGCCACATTCACAGGACTGTCAGGTACAGAATTCAAAACGGTGAAACCTGTTCCTGCACCTGCGGCGTATCTCACACTGTGACTTTCGCCTACGTCATCCAAGTATGAATAGAGTCCTGCAGATTAAAAAAATAGTGTAAAGTAAAATAGTAAATATGTATGTCCTTTAAAATGTCACCTCGCACGTGGCCCGTGTAATCACTATTTTCTGTACGCGATTGATCTTCAGATCGAAAGCTGAAGCTGTATGAAGGATCATCAAATGGATCAGCTAATGGGTCATCTGCATTGCCGCGCTGTCTAACAGAGTATTGCGACAAGTCCATTTCGCGGTGAATTTTTGGCCCATTCACACGAAATCTGAAAACCAATTTTCAAATTATTTTGATATAATTCAGCGAAAATATATACATAAGTCGTTACAAAACTACCTGAACAATTATATTATAATATTATGTATTAAATAACAAATTCTTTGGCTAACACAGTTGGAGACCGACAGATCTTTGTGTAGAACTTTTTATGTTGCAATATTAGCAAAGTTTTGAACGAAAAAACTAGCTATTCTTCAACAAAGAGGGCAGAATAAAACAATTGTTGTCATGATTGTCCCTCTGGTCCGAACTCGCCGAAAAAGCTCACTTCCTGGACTTCCGGTTAGATGGCCTCGGTCACTTAGCCATATACAAATAGTCGACTTCGGAATAAAGTAACGCCGATCCCTCAAATATTGTAAGTTTGAAAAATGATCGCAGTATACTAAAGAGAGAAGTATAAAACATGGCTATTTATTAAAAATAGTTTTAATAGTCATGATCCCCACAATTTTTAGGTTCCAAACTACAATAAGGCGCCAATAAAGGTGTAAGTAATTACATTGGCTAACGAAAAGAAACAAGTCGATTGATTCTAATAGTTTTTTTCACAGCTACTATTTTATCTCTACTAGCCCTAATACCCTTATTCACTATTTCTTCTTGGATCTCCTTTATTTTTTTGGACACTAAAATATATTTTGTTGTTGTTTTCGGTATGGGCTGATCAAGTGTGTGCTTGAATTCGATTGATTTTGCTACATATTTAGTGAAAAAATATTTGCAAAGTATCGCAAAACTATATCGGATTTTGTAAAAACTGCATATCATCCATACTTTAAAATAAAATTGTTCAATCAGCAATCGACAACAGACTGCCGAGCAGTTTTCCACTGTCGGTACGGCTGCAAACGAAGTTATTGGATTTCAAAAAAGTCGTAAAAACAGATGGTACGATGAAGACTGCCGTGTTGCAGTGGAGAGAAGGCATGTTGAATACCTCGCAACGGTGCCGAGAAACTTAAGCACCCAATCGATTACGAAAGATACTACGTTCCACTACCTGACTATGACGAGGTTCGAATAGCAATTGGTCACTTAAAGAACAATAAAGCGGCAGGAGCTGAGCTATTCAAACATTTCGGTGAAGAGCTGGTAAGGCATGCATCAGCTACTTTGCAGAACATAGCCAGAAGAAAGCATTCTTGTTCGTCGAGAGAGGATTTTACTTTTAAATAGTCTACTTAGTCCAAAGTAGCACCTGTTGGAAAGAGTGATTCTGCATTGGATATTGTTATTGGTGTTAAAAACGGTTCCGGGACAAACAAAATTATCTACAGCTACAATGGTATAACTTTCAACATTGGAGTGAGAGCCGAATCGTGTATGTGACGACTGTTTGTTTGATGACAGGGCATGATTCGTCTTGTCGGGAGAAAGCAGAACTTCCGTCGCGGTTGCTGACACCAATGATTTCAATATCATCGGCTCACAACTGGAGAATGTCCCTCCCTATTCTGACACATCTTTTGGTATTACTTAATTTCAGTTTACACAGCCGTATAAGTTTTGCGGGTATACCAAATTCAGAGATAGTGGCTTAGGAATAGCTCCTTTCCAGGCTGTCGAGGACGCTTTAAAATCCACGAAGCGGGAAGTCTTTCACAAGATTTGATTTGATATGAAGGGTGAATATGCAGCGTAAAGCCCCACTGATAAGAGCCAATCAGATTGTTGACGATCGGAATTAGTCATTTACGCAATACGTCCGATAGGACTTTATATGCGATATTAAGGAGAATGTCCCTCCCTATTCTGACATATCTTTTGGTATTACTTAATTTCAGTTTACACAGCCGTATAAGCTTTGCGGGTATACCAAATTCAGAGATAGTGGCTTAGGAATAGCTCCTTTCCGGACTGTCGAGGACGCTTTAAAATCCACGAAGCGGGAAGTCTTTCACAAGATTTGATTTGATATGAAGGGTGAATGTGCAGCGTAAAGCCGCACTGATAAGAGCCAATCAGATTGGTGACGATCGGAATTAGTCATTTACGCAATTCGTCCGGTAGGACTTTATATGCGATATTAAGGAGAATGTCCCTCCCTATTCTGACATATCTTTTGGTATTACTTAATTTCAGTTTACACAGCCGTATAAGTTTTGCGGGTATACCAAATTCAGAGATAATGGCTTAGGAATAGCTCCTTTCCGGGCTGTCGAGGACGCTTTAAAATCCACGAAGCGGGAAATCTTTCACAAGATTTGATTTGATATGAAGGGTGAATATTCAGCGTAAAGCCGCACTGATAAGAGCCAATCAGATTGTTGACGATCGGAATTAGTCATTTACGCAATACGTCCGATAGGACTTTATATGCGATATTAAGGAGAATTTCCCTCCCTATTCTGACATATCTTTTGGTATTACTTAATTTGAGTTTACACAGCCGTATAAGTTTTGCGGGTATATCAAATTCAGAGATAGTGGCTTAGGAATAGCTTCTCTCCGGGCTGTCGAGGACGCTTTAAAATCCACGAAGCGGGAAGTCTTTCACAAGATTTGATTTGATATGAAGGGTGAATATGCAGCGTAAAGCCGCACTGATAAGGGCCAATCAGATTGTTGACGATCGGAATTAGTCATTTACGCAATACGTCCGATAGGACTTTATATACGATATTAAGGACTTGTAAAATAAATTTCGAATTTTTTTTCAGTTGGATTTGAATGCAACCAAGTAACGAAAATATTACCAAGCTATACGACTTTCTAGCTCGACTGAACGATGGCCTACTAATTTCACAAAAACAAACTTATCGTATAACGATTAACGAATTAATAAAGCGGGTGTGAATACTCCTAAAAGTTTCCTACTGGGTACAGTGGTAAATGTATGTGCAACCGTATACGAAAAATCTTCGCCCTTTTTTTTTTTTTTTGAAATTGAACTTTAAATCATATCTGCCAGATAACAATGTATTTGACGCACTCAAATTGTGCGATTTTCGCTTCAGTGCACTTCCTCCAACGAAGAATTTAAATAAAGCGATTGAATGAATTTGCATACTTAAACATATACGCTTTTAGCGTAAGTTTAAAATTTATACAAGCACTATATTCGAATACCCTTGCGATAATTTAGTTTCAAAATTTAACCTACGTTAATATTCATATAAAATTCAGTTTATCATCATTATACCTTAGAAGTAAATGCATAAATCCCTTTTGCTTTCATTAATATTCCATAAATCTGTCGCATCAAGAAAATTAATTGAAAACAATCAATCTCTGCTCTTCGAGGTATCAAATTTGAAGAAGTGAGAGTGAGTTATTTTGATGCAGAATATCTTTTAAGAGCACACAAACGCTCTTGGTTTAATTTTTAATATTGCCCACTTCTTTTTGTTTTGTAATATATCTAATTTATGCATACCCACGTGGTCCGGCAGTGTACACTACTTCTTCCACTTGTCCGGTCAAAGGGTTCCTTGAGCCATACCGACCGCTTACTGTATTGTCTGGACTAGCCGAAGCGCTATGATAATAACCTCCAATGTCATTGTTGGAATGCCTATAAATAAAATAGTAAGACTAATAGTGATAAGTTCAAAAATAAATATGAATAAATTAATAAGTACGTTTTGTATAAAATTAAATTATAATACAACTCGGTCTAAGATCCATAACGATAAAATAATGTTTTAAGGGACACTGCAATAGTTCTGTAATAGCCGAGTGATCATCACTGCGTACTGCCATCCTGAAGGCTAGGGTTCGAGTCCTGGTTCGACCAACATCCAAAATTACATGAAATTAAATTTTCTAATTGCAGTCGCCCCTCGACAGGGAATGCCAAGCGCTTCGAGTGTAATACATGACATAAATTTGAAATTCTTCAGGTGTTTCGAAGTAAACGATTAAATGGTACTATATATTTTTTTTTTATCTACTTGACTAATTTACAATGGCTGAATATTCGTTCTATAGCTGATTTACGACGGGAAAGTAAGTAAAGTAAGTTTAAATACTTATAGTATTATTATTTTATTAATTCGGTTCTATTGGGGCTATGTGTTACAACATAAAATTCCTATTTTAATTATTTTAATCATCAGTTAATTTTTCAGTATTCTTGTACTGGTTATAGTAACTGTGCAAAATTATATTATTATAGAAAAAAATGATTAACAAATTTTAGTGGCCGCCTTAGACATATGGTTAGCACTACGTTTTACCGTGCGTAAACCCGCACTTTATTAGTTTGATTCCCGGCCAGACAATCATCCAGAACTGTTATAATTAATATTTTTCCTATTGCAGTCGCCCCTCGATTTTTCCGACATGAAGAAAAGAAAAAAACCATCGGAGGCTCAGAATGAACGATCCCTCCACTTGTTGGATCAAAGTCAAAACACACACTACAATTTGAAGTAGGGTTTTATTTACAATTACTACATGTTTGGTATTTAGTAAGTCCACATATTATTACGAACGTATAAATCGGTTTTGAGATACAAATGCAAACATGATAAACGGAAGTGAACAATCACAAGTCTTATAAGTAGTCACACTCTATGATAGGCTTCGTATTTACCGAAACGAAAATGACCCGTCCTCGTTGATGGTATTTTTTTCAATTTCGGCGTTAACGCACAATACCCCAATTAATATAGCAAATTCTTTAAACATTTTTGCGAATCTTTAAAACAACTTCTACAATTTCCAAAGTACGTCCTTTTATAACCAATGTTAATTTTTAGGTATCAACTCGAAAGGCTGCACAGTAAAATATAAAATCGTATGCGCGCATAGAAGCTTAAGAAAAAGAAGTGAAAACTTTAAGAACGACACAATAACTGACTGCTCTGCCAGTCGGCCTCCCCGTATTTAAATGCAATGGCTTTAACATTGTTTAACAACGGATTGAGAATGGGTTGGAAGGTGGGAGAAGATGTAAGATGGTTTATGCATGCTTACAGTCTGACCAATGTGCTACAGCAGTGAATGTTTCACCTGACCACCCACCAAAACAGAAAAAAAAAACAATAAAAATAAACGAGTAAGATACCAGTCACCGGAACATTTTATACTCACAAAATATTGTTTTTATACAAATAGTTTTACGAAGGAATATGTGGAAGAAACTACACCGCCAACAGAATCGCTAGCAGCAGCAGTAACACTTATCGGTCGGCTGGTCGTTGGGTAGATTGGTGAGAGAATTTATTCTGATGCTATAATCGACACGCAAGTGATGTTGATCGCCAATGTTTCTGTATTAGTAGTGGTATCCCTGCTACATCTTCGCGATAATTTATGTATATATACAGACATATACATATGAACTTATTCATCACTAGAAGTAATACAATTTCGGTGCTGTTGATTTCTTAGTTTTTCACTGGGAACACGTTTGCTGCTTTTTTCTACGCTGTTTTTACATTTTTTAGATTGTCACTTAATGGGTGATTTCATATTTGTAAGGACCTGAATTTTCTAGCTTTTACAAAAATTAATTGTCTACAACTATGAGTGTTTCCCAATTTATTTCTATTTAAAAGCTTTAGAGTGTAGAACATAAACAAAGTGTTCGATTTGTATACCTGTCATGGGTATGAAAAGGTGTATTAACGTTGGTCCGAAAATGTATCCCGATATATTTTATATATATTGTATTTATACCGCTGAAGTGATTTTCCGCCTAGCTCTTCCTCCAATTCGTGGTTTTGTGTCTTAATGGTTTTCTAACAAATGGAGGGACCTATAGCTTAAACTAAGCCGCCTCCGAACGGCTGATGGTTTTTCAAGAGGAGCTTTAATTCATGTCCGAAATAAACTCGCAATTAGAAAATTTAGCTTAAATTTATTTAAATACATTTTCTATAACTTTTGGATGCTGGTCGCACAGGGATTTGAACCCGAGCCTTCCACTCGGCTACCGCGGCCGCCCGATATGATCAGAATAAGGAAATAAATTGATTTAGCCATGTCCGTCTGTTTTTGTGATATTTCAACCAAACTTTGTACACAGTTGTATTTTTACATTTAAACGATGTTTTGTAGGAACAAGCCAGATTAGAGTACTACATCATATATACGACCGATTTTTCAGATTTTAAATTTTGGGTCGTAATCTGTCAAAGAGATTTGGTATTCTACACACATATGCACAAATGAGCATTGAAACCGAAAATCATCGAAATCGGAGTATTATATCAAATAGCACCCTCACAACCAATTTGTTCATATATGAGGTTTAGGGTCAAAAATCCGTCTAAAGCCTTTAAGAGCATGAAATAGCTTGATGTTTTAAGAGAAAACTGGGTATTTATGGATTTTGATTAGAACAGAATTTTTATTTGATTATAATTATTTAAATGCAGTTGTTCCAAGAGAAGCACTTATACATATATATTGCGCTTCTCATAAAAATCTGCAAAAAACACAATTCATTCGAACTTCACCAGTCTTCCTACATTTGTGTGGATGGATACAACAATGCAGCAATTTTCGTCAGTAACAGATTTTCATGGCCCTTTCTGACATCAACAATGCTTTTGCAGCACTTATATAAATTGCAGTTTTGCATTTCCTTCAAGCGCAAAAAATAGATTTTATTATAAGAATGCGTTTTATTTCTTTGTTGTGGAAGTAATTATATGTTGTTTTTAGCAGCCACCTCAGATATCGGTCATTCTTGCCAATTTCAAATACAGTTGGTTGACCTACCGTCCATATCGCGGCGCACATTTCAAAACAGGTTAGTATTCCACTAGCACGCACGTAAAATAAAACTTGATGCACAAAGATGATGTACCGCTTTCTTAATAACTTAGTGATATGCCTTTGATTATATGTACATGTTATACATATGTATGTAGGTAAATATGCATGTTCTAGAATGTGTGATAAAAATAAGAATTTTTATAAATTTGATTATATACATATATGTATATGTGTATATCTGGTCATCCAAGACGAGAAAAGTGCCTACCTAGCATATCTTTATCTTTGACCAATCGAGGCTCCTACTAAACAGACCATTTATTTTTTTCCATGCAATAGCAAATGAGTCAGAGAAAAAAAATTTCATTGAGTTATTAATTGCATTTTCGAAATTTAATTCATTGCTAACAGTTTCGTGGGCATTTCATTTTAATAATATAATTAACGATGCTTACAAACAACAGCTGTCCTACTAGTTTTCTTGTTACATTTGTCCAAGAATTCATTTCAAATAAGGAGCATTGTGAAAGCATCTGCTATTATTAACTTTACTGGTGAACCGGTGAATTTTTGCCAAAAAAATTACAAAAAGGTATGCACATTGAATTTTCATCGCCTGGTATGAGTGCAGTTGAACACTTAATGGTGATTTCTACGGATGTTTTGCAATGCACCTCTCCAACCGCCCACTTCAAATTGGAAGAGGAGCTCCACTTAGTTAAAGTGGTAGGAACAAGAAATCTAAAAATTTGTTATTAAATTATTCTCTTCTAGTTTTTCATTTAAATTAAAACAAATGATCGCAAATCAATTGTTCGTCTTTCTTAATAATTCCTCCTCCAAAATTAATCTCAAAATTTTTCTATTATTTTGATTTTTCTGTAGAAGGGGCAGAGCGAACTATTAATGTTTGCTTAATAATTTTCAAAATTTATTGGTTAAATATCTTTCTTATTTGCCCTTGTTTATCATAAAAAGTTTCTTGCATATGCTTTCATTTCCTTGCTATATTCAACGTTGTGACGGAAAACAATCACTTTAATATATTATTTATTTGTGAATTTTAACCCAACTCACAATAAATTAAATATTAATAAAATAAATATTAACCAACAAAAATTATATTACATACCATTGACACGGTAGGTGGATATGAGCATATTGCTGCTTTGCGAACTGGATTGTCAATGTTATTAGTTCATTGACACCATTGAGTCATATACTATAACCATAAACCTGTATTGTATGCTCTTACGGGAAAATTAATTTTTCGCAAACATACACATATGTGGCTATGTCGAATACATATGTATATATATTTATTTTTTTAAAAACATATGTACATATGTCTAATTTTTATACTTTTTGAAGCCGTTGTCAATGCCACCATCACTAAGGCTGAGACAGGCGCAACTTGCTTCTGCTGATCATGTAAATGTAGAAAGTGAATTTCCAATGTATCTCGGCTTTTGGTCTCCTACTGATGATGACATTGAAAATGGTTTCATTTTCATTCATGTAGAGTTATTCGTAAGCTGAGGTTGTACATTGCAATGGTGCTTAGAATTAAATAACAGGGATTGAGTTGTAAATATCAGCGCAAGTGCAAAGACATACATGCGTGTGCGCTTCTATATGTATGTATGCATCTACATGTTATAAGTGAAATAAATTATCATGGGAAATAATGCAATTTTTCGGATAAGCTTTTGTATTACTTTGAGTGTTTCAATAAACGCAAAGCTTTTTACAAATAGCTCACAAGGTCATTACCTCACAAAGGTAGATATTTCTCATATAGAACTTACCAAATTGTACCAAGTCTATTTTCTTAACAGAACAGATGCTTGAATCCCCCGCGAACTGCACGACGGGTGGAAAATTTTATACAGGAATGTCAGGAAGAAGTAAAAAATAAAATTCTTAATGGTGAAATTATATCTACGTTTTGCAAAAATTTTATATATATTCATTGATTTCTTTGTTTTGTCTGTAGAGGCGTTCCTGATTCTTAAAGATGAAGCTTACAAGGATTATTCGACACTGGATATGAATAACTATAACATGAATTTGGGTGGAAACTCTGGAACTATTGAATCTCTACGACATGTAATCCAAGAGCCATCATCAGTGCATATGCCCTCCGCTGCTCCTTATCCAACTGGATCTCCCAGACCGTCAATAAGACGCTTACTACATGGAATACAGCGCATTGCGCATGACCCGGCAAATGCTGTCTACCACCCCACAATAGTATCATACGAAGATAAACGCATAGCAGGAGTAAGTATCAATGCACAACATGTGCAAATGAATAATTTGAGTAAAATAGATGTCAAAGCATACATTTTTCCCAAGCCAACAGCTTCACAAATTCGCGCAGTTTCATTGAATGCAAAACTCATACCTACTAGTGCAAATAAGTTCAATGGCAGCCGCATAACCATTTTACACATACAAGTACAATGACAGTAACTTCCCCTTCTTACTCTTTTTGATTTAAACGCACTTGCCATTTACTTTTGGTGAGTACAAAGCATGCCACTGGATTCATACAAAAGCTTGCGTGTTTGTTTTTTCAAAGCAATTGCTTCCATCATTGTATACAATAGTCTTAATTTCACACGTTTTTTAATAGCTTGCCACAATTTATGTGCTTTAAATCTTCAAATATCTATTTAGAGGTTTAAAATAATCAACAATTTATGATTAGTGTTGTCGCTCTTTATATACTGTTCAAACATTTCAATTTAATTAAGGAACATGTCCTAACAAAGAAATAATATGCTTCAAAATATTGCAGTGCCTACTACATTGCATATACGCAAGAAACAATGCTATCGACAAACTTGGATGGCCTACGCTTGATGGCCTCGTAGACTTTTATTCAGAGGGTGTGAACGAACATGAATTCTTTATGGCCACTTTGCGATCCGTAAACCTTTGCTTGCACGCAATAACAATGAAGTATCGTATCAATCGCCGGAAACTGCCAGAGCATGGAGAAAGTTGTGATTTAGCTTTCGATGTATTTGATTGTATTTCGGACCAAATTACGGGCTATTGCTTCGATCAATATAATTGATATACATATATTTAATAAAGTGCACACACATACATATACATGCATAAGTAGAAATTAATGTTGAGTTATAGTAATAATTCACTATCATTGACTTTGACAACTCGAGTAGAAATTCCTTGCCTTTAAAGGAGCAGCCTTTTTAAAATTAACGTTAACGCTGAGTTTTGTGCGATTAACGTTAACGATTTCATTTCGTTTTGATGACATGGTGCCGAAACGAAACTATTTCATTTCTTGTTAGCGATACGGAATGATATCGTTGCGTTTGTTTAGCATCTCTGGTTAATATTTCTTTACTTCAACAGGATTTTTTTTTATTTTGAATGGGACATTCGAAGCGATGTCAAATTATTTCTGCTCGGATTTCAGCATCGATATTGACGAATCGGTACCATTAGGCCGATCGCAGATAGGATTTTTGCGTTGCGTGTCTTTTCCAACTTTTCCATTAAAAAGAAAGACGACGATGCTTAAACACAATGCACTATTCAACAATTTTTTTTTCAAAAAGCTTAAAAATTTATTATATTCATTTGAATACTAAAATGGAAAACTTCAAAAGAATACTTAATATATTAAATTTTTAAGCTTTTTGAAAAAAAAAAAATCAGCATATGATCAACGCGAGCAAAAAAAAAGAAAAAGTCTGTGCGTCAACGCGGCGCCAAAGGCCCTTATGCCATTGAGTTAATTGATTCAAGTTCGGTGAGGCAAAAAGCCAGAGAATTTTGCACCGAGACTGCAGAATTTTGACATTTCATTACTGGCTATTTCTTATTCTATTAATTTTTGATTTGTTGACAAAAATGGAACCATATCACAAAAGGTATGTTTTACCATGATTCAATAATTAAAGGTTGGCTAAGTAGTGATAATGGAGTTGTGACACTAAAAATAGTAGGTAATTTAAATGGTATTTATAACTTTTCATTCGTTTTGAGCGTGAATTAAATACATTTGAAATTAATATCATGAGTATGTACATCTATATTTTCTAATTATATTCAACCATGAAAATCTGTTCTGTAAAAATTAATGGATGTGCAAAATAATAAAATCATAAATTGTAAAATATAGCAAAAAATTTTTCTTTTGAGTAATTAAAGCCACTACACAACTGGTTGATGTCCTAATAAGGACAGAAGAAGGTGGGTCCTTGTGAAATATCCTACAGCGGCTAGAAAAAGAAGCGCAAATTTGGTGGTGCATCACAACGAAATTTTTCATTCACGCCACGAAGGAAAAGAAGGGCAATATGACAAGGGATACCTTTAATAAGCGCCTGTAGTATACTCATCACTTCAACGTCAGAGAAGGAAAAGAAGGGCAATATGACAAGGGATACCTTTAATAAGCGCCTGTAGTATACTCATCACTTCAACGTCAGAGTGGGCAAAAAGGATTTCTTTGGCACAACTGTCGGAAATTTTTGCCTCAACAACGAAACACCACCAAGTAGGTTGAGACTGATCGACTTCGACGGAGCCCGAAATATGGTTGTCCCCTGATGAAAAAACATAAAACCAGATCGATCATGTTGTGATAGACGGAAGGCATGTCTCCCGTGTTCTTTGTCGTTCGCACATTTCGAGGACTCAACGTCGACCCGCACCACTATCTTGTAGCAGCAGAGATAAGCACCCGCCGTTATGTACGTGTAGAATGATTCTCAACAAACACAAGAAAGTTTCGAAGTCAAAAAGCTATAATCACATTATACAGCCGAACGGTTTTCTATTCAAATTGCACTCCTGCTCTCAGAGAGCACTGCTCAACAACTCGGTATAAGAAAACTGTCGGACGGAATTTCAAGTTTGCTACGCACACGACAAACGAAAGTATTTGTTATCGAGAAAACAGTGAAGAGAAAGCAGGCTGCCTACCTCGCAACTTTGCGATCGACCACGACACCTGCGGGCTGGAATAGAAACCGAGAGCTGAAGAGGGAACCTAATCGCATTTGGAGGAAAAAAAAAGAGAGCGAAATGCGAGAGTCCTCGTATGAAGAGCTTTGGTGGCCAGGTTCCAGTATTATTGCCCGAAAATTCTACGAAACGTTATGGCGACTTATGTATGTTTGAAGACTTAAGCAAACTCTTGTAGGATCCATAGGGGTGACCTAGTGGCAGCTATTCAATCATGACGGTTACGAACTTTAATGTGTATATGAATCGCAGGATCCGCATTAAGAAATAATAAATAATTAAATAGTTGTCAAAATATTGAATCAATCAATCAGAAAAGAGTATGTGACGTCTACCAAATGATTTCATAAAAAAATGAAGTATTTAGCTACATCTTAAAAATTTGTTCTAAAAAACGCGTTTTCTTAAAGAGAAAAAACTGCGAGAAAACTGTTTACTCATACAACCTTTAACTATTGAATCATGGTGTTTTACTTACTTGCTAATTGTTACTGGCTAAATTTGTTTCTAATTTTAACTTAAACTCCATTTTCAAATTAAATGTAGAATTCGGTTTTCTAGTAGCAAATTTGACTGGTTTTTGGCCGCAACAATCATTACTGGAAATTTTCTCAGCCAACACTCTAATTTGAAACACGAAATATGCGAGTGCACCACGAGAGATTTGAAATTTAATTTCGAAATAAAGTTTGCAGAACACAAATCATTTTATCTTTCTCAAATTATAGATAAAATTGCCTTTAATTTTGCATAAAATATCTGTACATATTATATTTTATTTTAATTGGCAATCGGCGATGCCGGTATTAGGGTGGCCCAGGGTTACAAGCTAAAACGCGGCCGAAGCTCGCCAACTTTCAAAGGAGTTTGATTCAAAACATCTTATGCAGAGCGAATCGGATCAAAATTTATATGTATGTATGTATCTTTTAACAATTAGTTATACACCAAACGAAAGGTAACTTTATTCTCTATTTAATTAATTTATTTTTAAATTGGGTTCAGAAAACCCTTTTTTAATGAAAATAACAGGTTTTTATTAAAAATTTGTTTTTAAAGTTCTTCTCATTTTGTTTGAAAATATAGAATAAATATTGTTGCGAAAATGCGAGGCGAATGTCAGATGAAAGAGAGAAGCCGATAACACAAGAACCTTCCATAGCGAACAATTCGATGCTTCTACGCTTTCGTCTGCGAGCAGCCGACTGCTATATAAAGGCGACACTCAGCTGCAAGTCAAGCAGTGACAAAGCAAATTGGTTGGCGTTAACATCAGTGAAGACGTAAAGTGAACGCGTTGG